ACACACACGCGCACACACACACACACACACACGCATGCACGTCAAGAATGGACTCGGCTGTGAGCTGAGCACCGTGGATTACGCCGCTAAAAGTCTGTCTGGACTCGGTCTGAAAGCAACAGTATGGAAGCTGGTTTCCTACACAGGATAAAAAAATAAAAAGGAAATTGCGACTTTTTCTCTCACAATTCTGTCTTTTTTTGTCACAATTTATATCTAACAGTTTAGACTTTTTTCTTGCAATTGCAAATTTATATCTCACAATTCTTTCTTTTCCTCACAATTGCGAGTTTACATTTCGCAATTCGGACTTTTTTTCTCGCAATTCTGAGAAAAAAGTCTGAATTATGTGATGTTACCTTGCAATTGCAAAATATACACCTGCAATTCTGTGAAGAAAAGTCAGAACTGTGAGATAAAAAGTTGCATTTAAATTTTTTTTTTTTTTAAATTCCATGATGGAAACAAATTATAATTCACAATTCTGGGTAAAAAACATAAATGCAAGATATAATATCAAAACAGTGAGATAAAAAGTTGTGATTACCTTATTTATTGTTTATTCTGTGGTGGAAAAAAAAAAAAAAAAAGAAGAAGTGCTACAAAGACAAACTCAGAATTCCAAGAAGAATAGTCAAAATTGCAAGATGCGAACTCAGAATTCTGTTCGAATTGAACTAATTCGGAATTGTGAGATATAAAGTCACAATTACCTTTTTTATCTTTTATTTCCTGGGAGCGGAAAAAATAAAAACAGAATTGTGAGATACAGTATAAACTCAAAATTCAAAGAAAAAAGTCAGAATTTATCATTTATAATTTGCAAGATATAAACTTGCAATTCTGAGAAAAACAACTCAGAACAGTGGGGGGAAAAATAAAAAAATAAAAAAAATAAAAAATTCACAATTCAGAGAAAGTCAAAATTCTGAGATAAAAAGGTGCACCTTCTGTTGTGGAAACGAAAACAGAATTGCCACATGTAAACTCAGAATTCCGAAGAAAAAAAAAGGCAGAATTGTGAGAGAAAAAGTCGCAATTTTTTTTTATTCGGTGGCAGAAACGAGCTTCCACACAACAGTGATGTCTCGGGAAAACCTCAACTTTCAGCATCGCTGTTTCTCATTGGCTCCGTCACTCTCTCGCGCGCACTTTCTTGTCTACTTCCTATGGACTACTGGAATATCTTGTGATGAAAAAGCAGCAGTTTTTTTGCTTTCGAAACGATGAATCTGAATGCTAAACGACACGTTCAACGCACAACTTTCCTTATAACGATAAGAATCATAAAAAAAACTTTTCTGTTTGAAGAAGAAGAAGAGGATTAAAGTATTTAAAAACAAAAACCTGAAAGAAATCAAGTGTATGTGGGCAGCTCCAGAGCTGGCCGTTTGGTCTGGAGGGGCGGGCTGAACCTGCTGCCCGACCAATCAAAACAGAAGACAACAAAACTCTGAGGTAGATAACCGGTCAACAAGACCCACCAGGTCAAAAACACAGTCTCTTGGAAGACAAATTAATGAATAAAGCCTTAATAAACTATATTGTGAGATTAAAAGAAAATAAAAACGTTTTCCTGTAATGGATACAATTATTATTTCAAAGGCCGTTTCCTAAAACCTAGTGAGCTGCTATCTGTATTTTCCAGAACATCAAATTTTTTATTACCTAAAACATGTTGCATATATATATATATATTTCATCTTGACGATGAAATCAACGTCAAGCATGCAAAACATGTTGGTTGGAGTTTCATGTTTGATGTTTATAATGAATGCAGCTATAACTTATGTTTTATACTTCGATTTTTTTATTCCTCATCTGAATAGCGTTAAATTTAAAGGATTTGTTGTAGAGTGAGGGGAACTAAAATACAAGTTTATTATAGTGTTTATAATGTTTGTAAGCATTTCATTTTATCTGTATTTTACATGATTTCTGAATGTAATAATAATACAATTGTGACTTATCTGTGTCTTTTTTCTCTCAACAATGCAACTTTGACCCACTGTGACTTATATGTACCTAAACAACTTATATGTGACCCTGGAGCACAAAAGCAGTCTTAAGTCGCTGGGGTATATTTGTAGCAATAGCCAAAACTACATTGTATGGGTCAAAATTATCGATTTCTCTTTTATGCCAAAAATCATTAGGATATTAAGTAAAGATCGTGTTCCATGAAGATATTTTGTAAATTTCCTACCGTAAATATATCAAAACCTAATTTTTGATTATATCAAAACTTAATTTTTGATTAATAATATGCATTGCTAAGAACTTCATTTAGACAACTTTAAAGGCGATTTTCTCAATATTTTGATTTTTTTGCTCCCTCAGATTCCAGATTTTCAAATAGTTGTATCTCAACCAAATATTGTCCTATCCTAACAAACCATACATCAAAGGAAAGCTTATTTATTCTCAATAATCTCAATAATAATGAAAGAGACCCTTATTTTTGGTTTTGTGCTCCAGGGTCACATATATAATGCAATTACATAATGCACCTGTATTTTACATTATTTCAGAATGTAACAATAAAACTGACTTATCTGTGTTTTTTCTCTCTTAACAATGCAATTTTGACCCGGTGCGACTTTCCGCAAAATACGGTGCATAGACAGTAAGTGCACTACTTTTGCCAAATTCTAAGGCAGCATCCTTCACTGAGAAGGCAAATTCATAATGCATTTCGAGTGAAAAGCCATCCAAAAACTCTAAGAATTTATTCAACACAGAAAAGCAGCAAAATAGTTGATTCTAATTAAAAACTAATATTTTTCTGTGCTTTGTACTGTAATTTAACTGCAAGCGTGCCAATGCAAAAGTCTATTTGTATGATGCATTAATGAATTATGATGCTCCCTTAGAAGGCAGCAGCCTATGTAGGCAGCTCACTAGGGTTTCGGAACGGAGCCGTCGTTTCAACCTGTCCTAGTTCCGCGTTTTAGTTTCAGTTGTCTCCGCTCTGTAGTGATGTCTTCGTTTAGTATGTGGCACTTGCTGGATCCAAATCATCCTTCAAATCGGTGTCCGCACCTCGCCAACTAAAGACAGCTGAATGCATATGTACAAAGAAGGCACATTCTCCACAACTGCAACCCAGTCTGTTATAAAGTCTCAGCGTGGCCCGCCTCGAGAGAAAACTACGTCACGTCCGCGCGATCCGCTCGCCGACTGTCTTTGGTGAAGTAAACTTGAAAGTGCTGAGATTTGTTTGCCTGCTATAGTAAAACGAGCACTAAAATCTACACGTTCACCTCTCCCGAAGAAGCCCGCTGCTGAAAGTTGACTGACAGGCCACGCTTCCCTCCCGCCCCCTCATTAGAATACGAGTCAAAGCTCCTCCCCCTCCCACACGAGTTCTTCTAAAGCTAAACTACAACACCGAGATTTATAAACGAAAAGGCAATTATCAAAAATGTGATCGTTCAGCAGAATTTCTACCACATTCAAACAACCAAAGGCTCGTCGTCACCTCTGATTATAAAAACATTAAATCCTATTAAAACTCCATCAACGTTATCACTCGAAACGGTTTGTACTCTAAAAGATCGGAAAAAGCAAAACACCGAAATCCAAGCGCGGCGGAAATGTTCCTTTGCGAGATGCTAAAAAAGCCCTATTCAGCTGATTTACAAGGCAGAAGCCAGACCTCTTTTCTTCGGCTACTGTACAGGAAAGAGTTTAAGGCAAATCGTATAAGACGGACAGATCGGTCAGACCGAAGATGAAGCACACGACAAAAACACATCAACGACACTCACACCGCAAGCACAAACGCAATCTTTCTCAGGATGTCCGGCTGATAAATCTCTAAAAACGAAAGTCTGTTTCAGTACAAAAGAAAAGAGAGAGAGAGAGAGAGAGAAAACAAATCTGAAATCATAAAAATAAGAAGTTCCTGCATCTATGTGACGATCCTTGGTAAAAAATAAGCGTTGTTTCTTTAGTAAAATAAAACTTTTTCTTCCCATTTCATTTGTGTTTTCTTTGTCAGCATCCTCTGATGAAATGAATCCTTGATTTGCACCTAATGGAACTTATACCAAAATAGTTGAAGTAGTTTTATTATAAAACCGAGGATCTCATCGTAGAACCTGTGCAAAATGTCGATTCATCGGTAGAGCCGGTCCTTCAAAGGAAGCTGTTATTGATTTAGCAGTCGTCTCCTTCTCTCTCGAACCCCGACAACCCTACGATAGAAACAAGTACGCTTTAAATCAATTGCGTGTCCAAATTTGAACATTTATTCAGCAAGGAAGCATTTAATTAAACAGTTAAAAACATATATAATATTAAAAAAGATTTGTATTTTAAATAAATGCTGTTCTTTTGAACTTTCTATATTTATCAAAGAATCTTGAAAAATAAAATGTATCCTGGTTTCCACAAAAATATGAAGCAGCACGACTGTTTTCAACATTGATAATAATCAGAAATGTTTCTTGAACAGCAAATCAGCATATTAGAATGATTTCTGAAGGATCATGTGACACTGAAGACTGGAGTAATGATGCTGAAAATTCAGCTTTGATCACAGGAATAAATTACAGTACTTTTAAATTGTTAGAATATTTCACAATATTACTGTTTTACAGTATTTTTCATCAAATAAATGCAGCCTTTGTGAGCAGAAGAATCTTATACTGAATAAAAGGCAATTTCTCAATTTTATTAAGTTTAACTTGATGTACTAAAATAACTAAAGCGAAGGCTGAACTCAAAATTAATAGAAACTATAGAGACATATTTAAAAACAAAAACTATAAAAATGGCAAAAATACCCAGCACAATCACTAAAACTTTAATTAAAATTAACATGAATGCATAAAATAAAAAAAATGAATCTATTTCAAAATATTAACAACAAAAACTATAACAGAATCTCAGTGATACTGTTAAAATAACACTGGATCTGAGCATTACTATGTATATTCAACCAAATTTTCCAGGTACGGAAATCACAAATTTAATATTCTTTTTTTCCCCAGGTTTTCATCATTTACTCACTCTCATGTCATTCCACCCTCATATTTTTCTTCTCTCTACCAGCCTTTATAAATGTTTTCAATTATGTTCAATTAAAAAACGATGCCTTTGAATGAATCACAGCAGGTCTGAGATCACCGATTCCTCCATGTCATGTGACTCATTTAAAAGTTCAGTCGAATAAGTTCTATTGACTATTTTTATGATGCTTTTTGGATCTCGACAGCATGAATCAGCATCCATTATCACTGTACGGAAAAAAAATCTCTGAAGAGAGAAAATAACACTAGTCTGGAACGAGTAAATTATGACAGAATTGTCTTTTTTTTTGGTGAACTATTCCTTTAATTCAGACATAACACACGGACCAGGAGCAGAAAAGCAGGACTGCAGGTGACACAGAAGCACTCAAACCAATATCGCATCTGTTGCACCTGTTTACAATTCCAGACCAATCATTTCAAACAGATGTAAACCAATAATGCAGCAACACTTGACATGACCTCTAAACATTTAGATAAGAATCATGCACAAGGTTTCATCCTCCTCGAACCCAGAAAGGCATTTTGATCTTCTGTAGAGGACACTTGTTTGGTGAATGTCTCTGAGAATATACATACAGTCCTGGTGCATCTTAAACAGGACATCCTGAGCTTTTCACACATACCAGATAGATTCGGGTTTGACTTCTCTTCAGTTTTTAAAAATGGCTGTCAATTTCCAAAAATTCAAGATAAGAGGATATATATATATATATATTTATTTTTTTTTGGGGTAGAGGGGTGGGGGGTTGTAAAAACAGCTGACAGCTGAAATGTAAAAAAAATGTTGTATATTGTATTTTAGTTAACGTTTGTTTTATTTCAAGCAACAATTTGGTTTTTATGGTTTTATTTTTAGTTAACTATAATAACACTAGTCCTTCTCAATTTACATTTTTATTAATGTTAAAATGGTTTCCTGTAAATATTAATCTTAGGAAAATCTCAGTAGATTTTAAATCAGGATAAACTTAAAACTAGGGTTGGGCCGATAGACGATGCCACTGTTTGACGATGCTGATAGACATCACGATGTTGAGCCGGCATCATGACCCCCCCCCCCCCCCCC